GACAGATGGAAGAACTGTTTTAAAACAATACTACCTGAAACAGTTATAATGCTGATTAGATAATCATTCAAGAAAATAAAATCCTTGAACTGATATTACCATTCATTCACTCCTTCAAACATTTCTTGAGTGTACTCTGAGTTCCTAGGATAGATAAAGAAGTGAATTGAATATGGTCCCTACTGTCAAGAAACGTATCCTCGGGTAAGTAAGAGAGATACATAGACAAATAGGAGATAAGAGGGTAAAGTGAAGTGTGTGGACACCCATTCATTGAATCCTCTTAACAATCAACTGTGTATTTTCTTCATGCCAGACCCTGAGCTAGGTGTCTTATTCAATCTTCATAATAGGTTTATGAGGTGGGTACTGAGATAGCCAGGTGGCTGTGGGTTGCTGGAGAAACTTCGACCAGCCTGACTGTTGAGGTGGAGCTTTGGAAAGTTCATGACATTTGCAGAAGGGAGGAGCCTGGCCCCTCCTCTACCTGTGTGGAATCTGGAATTAGAACAGTGGGTGGGAAGCTCTCTAGCAAGGGCACCAGCCTTGGGGAGGATCTCTGTTTTTAACTTTTCCACCTCCGCTTTTAACCTTTCCACCCAGTAAAACCCTGCTTCACTCACCCTTCAAACTGTCTGCGAGCCTAAATTTTTATTGCCATGGGTCAGACAAGGACACCATCTTTAGCTGAACTAAGGAAAAGTCCTGCAATTATACGAGCATTCGCATTTTGGGGGATGAAAAAGATTGTATTCAATGGAAGGGTAAGTTTGGTTTCTTCAAGTTAACACTATTAGCAAATTTCAGAAGTGAAATTTGACCCTGGTCTGTTTGTTTCTACTGCTTCATAATTAGCCTAATCAATATTTAATAAAATTAAATAATAGAATTATGAGTAAAGTGTATGAAACACAAAGAAGGGAATGGTTAATTTTCTTCAGATTGGTTTATAAAGAGCAATTGAGAGGATTAAGTACCAAAAGCATTTGATTATAAAGGAAGACCTAACTGACATTGTAACTAGATGACACTGAGGATTTCTGTGAATTTTGTGATTGGTAGGCTTAGCAAAGGGTTGCAAATATGTCTCTTATCTAAATAATCTTCCCTGTCATTTCCAACTCAATTTCTGCTATCTATAAAGGAAATTACATACGAACGAGAGACATTTTGTTCAACTTTGTTTCAAAATTCTGTTCTCTTTGTAGCACTGCTTTCAGGCGAAAGATTTTATAAATAAGCGTTGTGAAAAACTTGTAAGCCCTCCTGGTTTCTAGTGTGGCTGTTAGCATCTCAATCTGTTGTCTGTTACTTGTTTGTTTTCCTTGGGCAGTTAATAGTTCCATCCCCCAGTTATGGTGCATTTATTTAATAAATAAATAAAGTAAGTAGATGTATCTACCTAGCAACTGTAGGTATTTAATAAATGTTTCTTGAATGAATGAATGAATGAATGAATGATTCAGTGGTGTATACCAATGGTAGCATAGATAGCTAAATAGATAACTCAATATGCATAGTCTTCTTACCAAAATGTAATCAAATTTCAAAGGCAGCAGCTACTTACTCTAAATTAAAGAAACCATTAAATTTCTTTTGAACAAACAAAGCAATTATTTCCTGCTCTATATTTGTAGCTTATGAAAATGCATTTTAAATAGAGCCCATTGAGTATGTTTTTTGCTGGTTATTTTTCTTGGTTTTAACACTTCATTGTGTGCAAAGGCCTCTTAGAAAATTGAAAATAAAAGTCTCCCTTTACTGATTTTGTCATTTTCCATTTGTCAAACATTGATTTTCTCCCTCCTTGTGAGTCTAATGGAGGTTGAAATTAGTGTTCCTTTTTTTGTTGTTGTTTACTTCTTATTTGTACACCGTCATCACCATTCATCAAGCTGCCAGGGAGCTCTGGCTCTGGGGATGGTGCTGGTGAGTTAACTGATGCTCTAATGTCCGCACAAAGACTATTTTGAATAGACTTCTGCTATAGCCTTGGCTTTTGCCTTTAGTATTTCTTTATAGAAAATGAGTTCAGTAGAGAAAACACTTTCTAGAAAATAACAATTTTTTAAGGAAGAAAAAATATCAAAACTATTTCTCTCAGCTTTTTGATAATTTAAGATCTTCTGAAGATTCAACAGAAAATATTAATATTAAGCAACCTAACTATCTTCACTAAAATTCTACATGAACCTAAGGTGCCATATATGCAGTCAGTCTGCTCTCCCATTGTGACATTGCAGGACATACTCTGTGCAGCCCTTGCTGAGCCTTGAAAGGAGGATCGCACGCTGGCCACAGCTGGAAAGGAAGCAACCTTCTAGTTAGCTGGGGAAGGGGTTTGGGGTAGTAGTTATAAGTCTTGGGTTTGTGCTTGTGAAAACATATTTTTCTGTTTCTTAGATTGATTGGATTGACAATAGAATTCCTTCAACATTGGGAATAAATCCAGGAGAAGAGAATTTCTCCTAAGGGTAAGAATGCTAATTTCTTAGGAAGCGCACTGCATTTGATGAGAAATCACATGTAATAAATTTGGAAATTAAAGAATAAAAAGGAGATAGACCCATACATGCCATATTCATTAAAAAACAAAACACCAGTGGAGGTGTTCTATGTACTTGTGATTTGCCCATATCTTTGAGGGGTGTGGCTACCTCTCTGTGGCTTGGCTGTATTGATGAAGATGTGAATGGCTCATTGCTCTCTCATTCTCTTACCGCACTGAATAACAGTATATTTTGCAATGGTGGAAATCTTCTGTGCTGTCCACTAGATACATGTTTGTTGAGTGCTGAAAATATGAACAATGTGGCCGAGAAACCTAAATTTTTAATGTTATTTAATTGTAATTACTTCAACTTTAAATTTGAATAGACGTATTTGCCTAGTGGTCACCATATTGGACAGTGTGGTGAATCTGTATCGATTAAAATGGTCATGACCGTACAACAGCCACAAAGCAAGTGAAAAAATCCTCCTCCACATCACTGATCACCAGAGAAATGCAAATCAAAACTTATACAAGTCAGAATGGCTCTTACTAAAAAGTCAAAATAACAGCTGATGCTGGCAAAGGATGCAGAGAAAAGGGAGCACTTGTAAATTGTTGGTGGGAGTGTAAATTAGTTCAGCCACTGTGGAAAACAACTTGGAGATTTCTCAAAAACCTTAAAACAGAACTACCATTTGACCCAGCAATCCCATTACTGTGTATATATCCAAAAGAAGACAAATCTTTGTAGCAAAAAGACACATACATCTGCATGTTCATGGCAGCATTATTCACAACTGCAAAGACATGAAATCCTTCTAGATACCTATCAAAGGTGGTCAGTGGTGGACTGAATGGAATGAGATCATGTCCTTTGCAAGCACATGGATGCAGCTGGAGGCCCTTATCCAAAGCAAATTAATGCAGGAAGAGAAAAACAAATACAGCATGTTTTCACTTATAAGTGAAATATTGGGTATTTATGGACATAAAGATCAGAACGATAGAAACTGGGGCTTACTAGAGGGAGAAGTCAGGCAAGGAGGAAGTGGGGAAGGGTTGAAAAACTAATTATTGGGTACTGTGTCCAGTACCTGGGTCAAACCTCAGCATCACCCAAGATAACCAGATAACAAACCTGTATGTGTATCCCCTGAATCTAAAAAAAAAAAAATTGAAAAAAAAAAATGGGCCACGAAAGCTTTGCTTTTTAAGTTAGCCTTTCCCAAAGTGTCCAGGCCTAAAACGCTGTGCTTGATTACTCTACTACATGCAGGCACTGTACTCGGTTCCAACTAAAAGTGATAAACAAGGCACCGTCTGTGTCCTAAAATCTTACAGCCTCGTACTTTCTCACAACACTCAGCTATCTCCTAAGAGGGTTGAGTAGGTTCTAATGAGTGAAATAATACCTATCTTATTTTAAAAAATACTGAGTTGAATAGTAGACTGTAATGTGATAGAAAACAACTGCTTCACAGACTGTTTGAGGCTTCATTACCAGAAGAATATAGGCTATATGTCAAGTGGTTTCTTCTTTTTGTACTGATAATTGATACATTTAAAAAACAGTCAGTTCTGGCCAGGCGTGGTGGCTCCATATGTGTAATCCCAGCACTTTGGAAGGCTGAGGCGGGTAGATCACCTGAGGTCAGATGTTAGAGACCAGCCTGGCCAACATGGTGAAACCCCATCTCTACTAAAAATAAAAAAAATTAGCGAGGCATGGTGGTGCACACCTGTAATCCCAATTACTTGGGAGGCTTAAGCAGGAGAATGGCTTGAACCTGAGAGGCGGAGGTTGCAGAGAGCCAAGATTGTGTCATTGCACTCTAGCCTGGGCAACAAGAGTGAAACTCTGTCTCAAAAAAAAAATTAGGTAAAATATGTGTATAGTTTCAACATTTCAGATTTGGCCCTCTCTTTGTATACTCAAATATTGTCAAATTCTGAAAGACTTGCTAAAATGAACCTGCATGATTATAGAGGCAAGACCTGGGTTAGAATCCTGGCTCTGCTCCAATCCAGCTTTGTCCTTTAAGCAAATCACCTCCCTCTCTAAACCTCAGTTTCCTCATTTGTAAATGGGGCTAATAACATCTTTTTCACAGTATCATTGAAAGGATTAAGTGAGATATTATAAATAAATTAACTAGAACAATAATAATAGTTGCCATTTAATACTCATTCACTATGCACCAGACACAGCCTAGGCACTGCACAGGCCTCAATTTATTTAATCTAACATTATGAAGGTGTTTTTGTTATTTTCACTTTAAAGATGAGGAAAGTAAGACACAGAGAGGTGCATGTTCTCCAGCACACTGTGAACACTCAATGGCTGTTTTGCAATTGTTTTATTATTATTATTGCTCATGATTTCTTGCAGTTATCCATGCAGATATCCAGTCAAACATTAAATAAAACAATGCTGTTAATTTATTTTTTGTAACCCAATTAGATGTTATTCATTTTTCAGTTTTTGCCTTTCCCGAACCCCACTTACTATTATGTCTCCTCCTCTTATAAACTGGATTCTGGGCTGGATTAATAGTATATCATAAAGGTAGATGATGTCACATATGATGTCCACAATAAGCCAGTAGTGTATGTTGTCTGGAGTTTGATATGGGAAGACGAGGCGCAGTGGTATAAACCAGCAGTTCCAGTTATAGGCAAGGGTGACAAGCAAGAGCCACAGGAGGTAGAGTTGATCTAGAAAAACAGCAAGTGGAGCAATCCAAATGTCATAGAGCAAGCACAAAAAGAATTCTCTGGCTTAGTTTGGTGAGGTTGGGGCACTAACCTCTAGAGAGTGATTTGCCACAGAAGGATCTATTAAACATTCAACACAATTTGGCCTCTGGAGCATGAGGCACTGGGCTTTAAAAGAGATGTTAAATGATCTTATCAGCTCTTCCGAAAGTGGACAGTTTCCTTCCAGTCTCCTGGAGAAGTGGCTGCTCTGAATCTGTCCCCACAGGCAACTGCGTTACTTGGATCAGGAAAGGGGAATTTCAAGAAAAGTCCGAAGGACTTTGCACAGGCACCACTGCAGCCACAGATCTTTAGTTCATTAGTAGTTAAGTTGCAGGATTGGTTGCCCAGGGCAGGTGACAGAAAGATCACCTTCTGCCAGAAGGGGTATGGCACTGAATGGGAGGGCACAGGATCAGCCCATTAACGTAGTCCATGTCCCTTCATGCATAGCCTTTCTCAGCCTATGGAAGCCGCAGGGAAGGATTTGTTCAATTAGAATAATCAACAATTGTGAAGCTGTGGAAGAAGACTGACACTTCATTATAATGTGTGTGAATGTCAGCGTACTTTAGGGTCTTAATTTCAAAGGTAATCAGGAACAGGACAGGATCTGGACTGCTTTTTAAATATAGGCAGGAAATATTGTATTTCTTGTCTTCACTAAAGATAGGCGAATGATCCTTTGCATGTTATATAATTTAAATTCTGCTTTCTAGTTAGATCGAGAATATGAGGTAAGGAAAATAGAAGCTATGGGTGACTTTGAGTCACAGGGTTTCTTGGTGATAACCAGCCCTCCCACTCTGATAGTTTACCCTTTGATAATACCTGTGTATGAATCTATGCTTTCTGGAAGTTTAAGTTGCTTTAAGTACTCTGTTAAAGGCATCTTCTTGACTTTGAAACATAACAGCCTGTAGTAATGTTCTTCTGTTGGCTTATCACTTTCTTTTACTGCTGGTACAGCTGTCGGCTTTGCTTCATAGGAAAAAAAAGATGAAACATTTGAAGAGGTTAAGTTAGCTTAGTTAAAAACTTAACTTTCTTAACCAAACACTGCATGATCTCACTTATAAGTGGGAGTTGAACAATGAGAACATACGAGCACAGAGAGGGGAACATCACACACTGCAACCTGTCCGGAGGTGGGTGACAAGAGGAGGGATAGCATTAGGGCAAATACTTAACATAGATGATGGGTTGATGGGTGCAGAAAACCACCATGGCACATGTATACCTAAGTAACAAACTTGCATGTTCTGCACATGTGTCCCAGAACTTAAAGTATATATATAAAAACTTGAATTTCTTAAAGTCAGAACATTCATGAATCTTTCTCTTTTGATATAGACAGATGAAGCAAAACCTTCATGACATTCAAAGTAATGACATTTATTTCACTCTGTGTATATGTGTGTATAAAGAAAACAAATCGTCTTAAAGTATTGCATATCTTAAAGTATATGATAAAAACAGAACAATATAGTAACATTTATGAAAGTATACAGGTAATGAAAACACTGGAATTTGGAAATATGTAACAGGTTTAAAACTCACTAATAAAGTGTCACAAAGGTGTTACAAATAGAATATTTTAAACACAAGCTTGATTTTTACATGCTTTGGAGCATAAAGTCAGAGATCAGAAACACTGCAAATGTACGTCATTTCACAGGTTTTGGTTTGGTGCTTGTTTACCATCATACATATCACAAACAGTATTCTTTTCAATATATCTTTACCAGACTAAAATTACTATGATTTCTTTTAGCTTCTTCTGTTCAAAAAGTAACTGTTACACAATACACAGTTTATTTTGAAAACCTCCATTTTCTTATATAGAACTATAAGGAAGCTCAATTCCATGCCTTGTAATTATCAACTTAATTTGTATTTATATGTTAAACAATCAAGCTTTGTTATATTCTTTTTCTGTACATATAAAAATATTTTACACAGATATAATCATAGTATATATTACTTTTGTGCTCTATGTTATCATATTGATTATTTTTTCATAAACACATTTTTGTAACTATTTGGGAGGTTGATAATAGTCCCTGCCTTATGTGATTAATTTGTTGATGTCCTTTGCTCTGTTGGATACCCAGGTAATAATATGTACTTTGCATAATATGGGTATTTAAATATTTAATAATAATATATACTTTGCATAATATGGGTATTTAAATATTTACAATAAAATTTGCTATAGAAGATACTGTCTGTGACCTACACATATATACTAAGCCTGAGGTCACTTGTGGGAGAGTTTCCTGTATCTGTTGGAGGATTTTCTCCTGCAGGTTTACTTAAAGTGCTGGGGAGGTAACAGTGTCAAGCCCCAGCACCAATCAATTTCCTCCTCTTCCATTCAGATAATTCTCAAGTATGATCCACACAGTTTTTCAGCTGTATAAAGCCCCAATGGCACAGCAGTGATCCTCTTACTTTTTTACTTTTTAAAAAGTTTTTTAAAAAATTTAAGAGGTAGGGTCTCACTATGTTGCTCAGGCTGGTTTCAAACTTCTAGGCTCAAGCAATCCTCCTGCCGTGGACTCCCAAAATGCTGGGATTATAGATGTGAGCCACAGACCCCTGGCCAGTGATCCTTTTATTAACCCATCTGTACTGTCTTAACTTTCTTCTCTGTCTCACCACTCTCACCTACCTGGATCACTTTCAAAATAAACTGTACATAAATCATTTTCTCAGCATCTGCTTTTGGGAGATCCAAACGGAAACATCTGCAAAAACAGGTCCCCTCATCACTTCCTTCTTTCCAGTACATTGAGGGAACAATGCTTACCAGTTTTTGGGCTGGCTTCGGGTGAGGAGAGATCTCCCTCTACCAACTTTTTCTTGTAGATGGCTGTTCTTTGACGCATTCTTTTCACTAGGTTGTGTAGTTGGGCATCAGCATACTCATTTATAACAGGAGGTTCAGGCGGTTTGCTTTGTGGGCTAAATGAGAAAAAATGGCAATAGCGATGAGCCCACGAAGAGATACATATAAGGGAAGGATTGAGTCTTTTCATCTTCCTTATATATTCAAGATTTTTAACTCCCCCTTTTTGCAACTGAATAGTACAATTCAAACATTAGGTTTACTGAAAATAGTGCTGGCTGAGTACAGATTTGTTATTATAAAAATTAGAATCCACAAATAGCAAGTGGTCACTCTTGACCATACTGGATCTTGATGACGGCGATTCTGTCATTAAATTGTATCACTAGAACAAGGAAAGCTACAGATGGTGGGGGCAGGCAGATGCCTAAGATGGCCCCAAGATTCCCTGATCCTTGGTATATGTGCCTGCATAATCCCAGGGACAATAAATATGGTGGTTTTATTCCCATCAATAGTCCAAGTTATATGGCACAGTTGATAAGGAGATTACATAGGTGGGGCTGATCTAATACCAGGCCTTTTAAAGTAGAGTTTCTCCAGCTACTGACACAGCATGAAGGCAGAGATTTGAAGCACAAGGGAGATTTTACTTGAGAGAAATTCTCCATGGCTGATCGTGAAGAAGAGGGTCACCTGGTTAGAATTGCATGAGGCCTCTAGGAAGCTGAGAGTGATTCCTGGCTAGCTGTTCACAAGAAAACAGGGACTTCAGAGGTACAGCTGCAGGGAACTGACTTTGCCAATAACCTGAATGAGCTTGGAAGTAGATTCTTCATCAGAACCTCCCAATGAGAGCCTAGTCTGGCCTGGCCAACACCTTGGTTTCAGCCTTGTGAGACCCGAAGCCAAGAACCCAGCTGAGCACACCCAGACTTCTGATTTGGTCCCATTTGCTAATAACTGGGTGGTTTTAATTTTTTTTATTTATTTGTTTTATCTTTAATTTTTATTTGTTGTTTTAAATTACTAGTTTGTGGTAATTTGTTATGCAGCAATAGAAAAATAATGTAGCTGCTGTACTTCAATGAACTACAGGCATGTACCACCACACCAGCTAACTTTTGTATTTTTAGTAGAGATAGGGTTTCACCATATTGGCCAGGCTGGTCTTAAACTCCTGACCTCAGGTGATCCACCCGGCTTGGACTCCCAAAGTGCTGGAATTACAGGCATGAGCCACCATCCCCAGCCAACGAACTTCCTTTCTGAGAAAATATACAAACAAACGAGCATGGAGTGTAGAGTAGACATTAGGATACTTCATCAGGACCTGAGTTTCCTCACAGATCTCCCTCAGAGCTCTCACTCTTTATCTTCCTTCCAATGTCTGATATTGGGTCTAAATGGGCCCATATAGGCTCCATCCATTCTCATTTCCTCATATCTGCCCTTCTCATCTCACCTCCAAGTGATAGCCCATGGGGTTCACAGTGGATCTGGGTAACTTGTAGATTCCACTTAAGAAAACCTTAGTATGGGTATGAGCCTCTCTCCATGAAACCCTTTCCTCCATGGCCCACAAATATATCACATCTATAACTGTTTATACATTCTAAGACTATCACAAAGGATTGCTGGTGACCACCAAAAGCTAGGAGAGAGAGCATGGAACAAATTCTTCCTCAGCTCTTTCAGAAGGACCAACCTTGAAGTCAGGCTTCTGGGCTCCAGAACTGTGAGAAAATAAATACCTGTTGTTTTAAGTCACCCAGTTTGCGGCAATTTGTTATGGTGGTCCTAGGAAACTAACGGAGTTAGCAAAACAGATAATTATGATACCACATGGGCAACTCATATGGAAGCATACATTGTAAGAGAAATATTAATACATTCAGTTTAGTAAAGGTTAAACTTCAGTTGTAAACTAAGAATCAAGATCTCTTTCAATTCATTTGGTACAGCAAGCAGTTGAGAATTGGGTTTGGAAATTGGAAGGACTGAGTGGTAGATATTGAACTAGGTCGAAATCACCTGTCTAGAGGATATGGTGGGAGTGATATAGTGGACGAGATTACCAGTAAAAGCCTGCATTGAACAAGAAAAGATTGGGAAGTCACAACCTTGGAATTTACTGACATTTACAGCATATCTTAAAAGGAATGGAGAAGCAGCAATTAGAGAGAAGAGAGATCTAAAAGGGAAAATGTCACAAAAATCAGGGAAGGTAAGAGTTTGAAAAAGGAGGCCACACACAAAGTGAGTAGATAGGGGCTACAGGATATGGGCAAGTATGAGTTCATTGGTCATCTTTCAGAACATTGGTTAGAGAGATATGTAATGCCAGCAAATGTTGTCATTTTCTCCCCATTTTTCTTAATGAGTATTTTGTAAAACAGGTATATAAAATCTGTTTTTTCTCTAAATAGTATTTTGAATTTCTATTCATTATTTTGGTTTGCAAACTTTGTTAGATTTCTTTTAATTCTAAATTAAGAATTAATTCATTTTTCAGCGACTTAACTAATTTCTCAAAAATCCCAGTTGGTTCAAGTTTCTTTAAACCTCCTATTTCTATCCTGTTAAATAACAGATAGGAATTAGGCAAAGAGCATTACATTCTAATCTGGGAGGTTTTTAGGGGAGAAAGGAGCAGGCCCTTTTTCTTTTCCCATGTTTAGGCAATAATTAATAATAAATTCAGATGGCTGCCCTCAAAAGTTACATCTAAAAAAATCCCATTTTAAGTACATACATATTTTTGGGGGAATACCTTTGAGTGAAAATAGCACAAACTTATGATTGTTGCTGAAGTATGTGGCAGTCTACCATGAAGCCTATACATTTTAGGCAAATTTGGGATAGTATAGATATAACTCAACCAAGTCTCACTTCACTCCCTTTCACATTCACCCCTAAATGCTGTGAAGATTTTAGGTTGTTTACCACATTTCACTTGCACATTATGGCATTGTTTGTACACATCAGTTTGTACATATGGTAATGTACATATGGATGTTATGATGCACGATTTCCTAACCTGACTTGTTCATGATCTGTATAGAATATGCTGCAATGAATTTACAGCACCAACTCTTGTTTCCACACTCCCTGTTAGCAGCCTACTCTCTAGAGCATTTCTTTTGTTAATCTGGAAGTGCTAGAGATGTGTCTCTGTTGTTTATTTTTGTTACTAGTGAATCATATTCAATCGGCCCAAAAATGTAATGGTACCTAACCCTGTTAAAAGTTAGGTAACTATTTTAAGGCAAAAGTAACAAAAAATATTCCATAAGTTGTAAAATTATATTAATACACCCATATGTACACATACATGCCTATTTACACAAAAAGCAATACACGCAACCAATGGCAGTGCTTCCGCACTCTAAATGCAATTGGAAAAAGAATGAATAAACATATCGGCATAAACATAGTCATAATACTAATACATTTCATTTCAGTAAGCACTTAAAATTCCCCAATGGCTTTAGATATTCTTTTGAGAGTAGGGAAGTAACAAGTAGAGTGTGTTTTTACTATTTTTTCTCCGTAGAATAGCAGCCTGAAAGGGCCAAAGAATGTTTGACTCAATGTTCCTGAAAACTGGTGTCTTGGGGAAGTTACCAAGCTGTTTTGAACATCTCATTCATTTGTTCAACTAAGATTTATTGTGCACTTAATTTGCACCAGGAAAGGTCATCATACTCTGTATTCACTTTGAAGATTTTTAGTTAACATTTCTCTCATTTTGCACACTCTTAAATTTATTCTTACTTATTAGTTTGTTTATTGATGTTTTCTTTATTTAAAACTTATTTCATTAGAATGTGTTGTGAACTAAATTTTGTTTTCCCCAAATTCATATGTTGTAGCCCTAACCCCTAATGTGACTGAATTTGGAGATACAACCAATAGGGAGGTAATTAAGGTTAAATGAAGTCATAAGGATAAGGCCCTAATCTGATAGGATTGGTGTCCCCGCCCTTTTTTTTTTTTTTTTTTTAAGCTAGAGTCTTGCGCTATTACCCAGGCTGGAGTGTAGTGGCATGATCTTGGCTCACTGCAACCTCTGCCTCCTGGGTTTGAGGAATTCTCCTGTCTTAGCCTCCCGAGTAGCTGGGACTACAGGCACCCGCCACCACGCCTGGCTAATTTTTGTGTTTTCAGTAGAGATGGAGTTTCTACTAAATTCCTGTTGGCCAGCCGGGTCTTGAACTCCTGATCTCAGGTGATCAGCCCACCTCAGTCTCCCAAAGTGCTGGGATTACAGCCGTGAGCCACCACACCTGGCCAGGATTGGTGTCTTATAAGAAGAGGAAGAGACACCAAAGAGCCCTTTCTTTCATCTCATGCACAGTAGAAAGTCCATGTGAAAATATACGGTTAGATGCCATGCAAGAAGGCAGCCATCTACTAACCATCTACAAGGAAGAGACATGGATTCGCCAGAACTGAACCTGACAGCACCTTGATCTCAGACTTCTAGCCTCCAGAACGGTGAGAAAATACATTTCTGTTGTTTAAGCCTGTGATATCTCAGTCTGTGTTATTTCATTATGGAAGATTAAGCAGACTAACCCGGAATACATATAGATCAAGAAAAAAGGGATAAATCTATTTTAAGAAGCAGATAAAAAATTAGATCAAGATATTAGGCTGAATGCCATAAAACTTGAGATGACAGAAAAATGTACAATGCTAGAAAGCAAGACATCACCAAGTGTAAGCCAAAAAATTTGAGACATTTCTGAAAGATAGAAAACATTGGTTCATATGTTAGCTCATTTAATGCTGACAAATTGTAAAGTACTCAGAACAGTGTTGATGTTAATGAAAAAAAAAATTCATCATCCAAAACAGTCACAGGAGATATTTTTTGCAAAGCGAGAGGGTTCTGGGAGAGTTCTACTCTTGGAGGAAGTGAATGCAAGGGGCCAGAAGGGCCATGGTCAACCACTGGGGTGATTCCACACCAACTGCATTCAGAGTAGTGAGGTAGGTTATTCTCCTTTTGACCAAACCTGCATTAAGTTGATAAGAACAGAAGCAGCATTTCCTTGAGGCAGTAAGAGGAAATTTGGACCAGGGAAGCAGAGCTATATCTTAGGAGATG